CGTGGTAATAATGTGGTTATCGGAAATGCGGCTTTAATTGCAGCCTGGTGCATTGTAGTCTGTATGACACCTGGCCAAAATGGTTTACACTCGAGACGGTGCCAATTATAATTCAGCCAATGGGAGCGCTTTCATAAATCCACGGACATGCTTGCTGCGGCAGCGAGATGCTTATTTGACAAGATGGGATGGAGACAGACAGACATGCACTATATCTTTTTTTAATTATAATGTCTGCAAAGATGGGAGTAGCTATAAACAATCATATGCCATCAGCCTGCCCATCCCCCCACACTATAAACTGTCATTTTTACAGCTGAAAAAATAACATTTAAAGCAAAAGATAGCATTTGTGACATAAAGTTACAGAGAGATACTTATTGGATGGTCAATGTACAAAAAATTCTACAAATTATTTTAATGTTTAATTATTTTTGTCTAACAGTTAATAAATTATTGTGGGATGAATATAAAGCAATCATTTTAAATTTTAAAATATGGTGTAGTTTTAAGTTATTTGTATACGGAAACACAGTAAAGAAATAAACATACTAATTCATTAAGGCTTATTAATTTCCTGAGAATGTGCATGTTTAAATGTTAAAATACATTGTTAAGAATGATACTTCAGTAGTATTTTGTGGAGGCAGCTAAAGCAGAAGCTGTGAGGGAGCTGACATCAGAGGACTATAGAGGCTCCAGCACTTAGAGGCCATTTTATTGCTTTGCTGTGGTCAAGTGAGGTGCACCAAGCTCAATTCCACCACAACAATGGCACAGAGGGCCGCTGAGACAAAACAGGGCTATCCCTACGTCTAAACCCCTTCACTTCAGTCGGTGCTGTCTCCAGGGAAAGAGCAGGGAACAGTGGCCCACCTGAGGAGGTATGGCAGGTATTATACTTTGTACATAAAATGAATCGAGCAGTCCCCTTTTTCTGACAAGCAGACCGGCCATTAGTCATGTGTTTTACTGTGAAATATACCATTCTGTATGTTATTGTGTTTCCCCCTCTCCATGTTCACTGTGCCAAAGGGAACGCTGCTGCATGAGCTACCTCAAGTCTGCAAATCAGCGATATTATGGGGACATGCTCGGTTCTGTTTTGTTATAAGAGTACACAGAAAGAAAGGGTAAAAAATCTACTTGAGTCGCGAACTGAAAGGCACTGTATATATCCTCATCCTCCCCCATGTGATCCGTGAGAGGAAAACAACCCTTTTTTTTTTTAAATCAAAAAACACTGCCAATAAAAACATCTATTGATATCATAAATAGGATCACTGATATAATTTTGCATTATAAAAACATGGAGGAAGCATGAAGGACATAACATAAAAGATAACCATGGCTAAAACATAAGAAAGAATATGACTGCTCGTCTGCCTCTAGTAAAGAAATAAAATGTTGATGTTGTGTTTGGTGAATTGAAAATAGGTCAAAGGTGCAGAAATGACACAAGCGTAAGAATATAAGCGGTGGGCTGTTAGTATTTGAAACCTCACACGCCATAGAGCAGCCGCTGCACACTTCCACTGGAGTAACACAATGCGGATTTCACAGACACAGATAAACAATGCTATGGCAGTTATCAGTCCACAGAGCACAGTAACACAGAGGAAGAGGAAGAGCATGACAAAGAAGTAAGGAAGGATAAAAAGACGGCATGTGTGTCGTCAGAGTCACAGGCCAGAGGGGCCCACGTATTGTTCCGGACTCAGCGTGCACAGGGAGAGAAAGGCAACCTGGCCCGCCTGTGTCTAAGCGTCCTCCATGTTTTATGCATTCTGTCTTTTGTGATGATAAGCACCAGTGTGGAGGGTGGAATGCTGGCCTCCATGGTCCAGAGAAGGGTGGGCTTTAGCCAGGGTTCAGCTCTGTTTAATTTAGCGGCCCTCTGCGTAGTCGCTGTGTGTACATACGTGTGTGTGGACGTATGCAGTCTGCACACACGCAGCATCGTCATTTAGCCAATCGCTGAGCACCAAGCACGCTGACACTAAACCATAGACTGGCCATCATGCCACAGCTCTGTCATGGTCCTGCAGCCTGGTCACTTATGTCCTTCACAGCACTTATCACGGCTAATGCTACAAGGCTCTCATAGTTCAGTCAGTACAGCGCTGACACCTCTGCGTATTGTTATGGCTACAAAACACATCCTGGGCATTTGATACACAAGAAATATACAGCTTCATCTCAGGGACTACAACATCATCATTTGAATGTGGGAAACAATATTAATAAAAAAATTCATACTTTTCTTTATGGGGGAGATGAATACATTTCATATCGCCCATACTTTACTATACTTCAGGTGCCTAAATTGCATTAGAATAGAATAGAGAAAAGATTGAAGTAAGACAACAATCACGTTTTCAAACATTTGCAGCACTGTCCTAAGGATGAGTGTTTACAATATTAGAAGAAACCACATAGCCACGTTTACGTCGAAAGATAAAAGACAGGGATTGACTTCAGCAGCACAGGAGACATGTGTCCCACTAATTCCTTACAAAACTGTGGCCTTTACATCGAGCTTAGCTACCACCCACACCAGCCAACAACAGAGCAACTGGAAGAACCAGTCCACATATTGACCACATGCGCTCATCAGCTTAGGTGCTATCACTTCAATGAACACACAAGGTTGCAAGGTATGACATTTGGATAAAATAACGTAAGTAATGTTATGAATAATAATAATAATAAAACATTTGTATGCACCAGCATTAGGGTTGAATACCTCCTAAAGAATATATAGTGTGTGTATGTTTGGCACGAGAACAGTGTTCACCCAAAGAGGGCTCTCTCAGACCGAGGACATGCGTGCTCCCTGCTGCACTGGTGCCCATCTTCGGGGAGGGAAGCAGCACACACACATATACGTACACATGTACGCACACACACGCGTACACACACACGCTGTATAAAATGAGGAGAGGCAGAGTGGAATTAGAAGAGGTTATGCCAAAGGCGCTGTCTTTGTGTTCTCATTGTGAACAAGCCAATGATGCTTTTCCTGCTCTTGACGCTGATGTTGTCCAATATGCTAAAGTGTTCCAAATCAACATCTCATATTTACTGCAGCATACAGCACCTGACTATCGGTGAAAACACAAGGAAAGACTTCACACATTCAAATATATTTATTATCTATAATATAGCTGCTCCCCCAGGTCTTCATAACACCGTAGGTACTTGAAACAAAGTCAACTGTGTGCACTATGTTATTATTTACATTAATTTTTTTAATTGACAAATATTGAAAAATTAAAGGTCATCAGTAACTAGAGATATGAAAATGCTCTCATCAACATAATTGAATATCTAATCTATCTTATGAACTTAAAGACTAAAACAGGCCTTCCAGTTGTCTGATGTCTATATGGGATACTCCACCGTTGTAACAGACAAGAACACAGTGCTGTTCTTATATTCACCAAACACCATGTCACGCGAATCAAATAGAATACATCCAAATGACATACCTATATTTTGGCAGGAACAGTTATAATTAAACTCAAATATGACAATGAGACAACGCGGAAAGGACTGAGACACGTGAGATGACAGTAAACTATTGTGCTCGTCTTTGTTTTGTAACTGTAGACATAGACGTAGACAGAGAGCAGAAGAAGAGGAGGAGAGAGGGGAGTGCTGCTGTCAGACAGAGAGGCAGCGAGCACTATATGCATGGTATAAACACTACCTGTCCTATTCACTACACCCACTTCTCAAATCAAAATACGGCAAGATGAGAACGGCCATGCATGCGTTTATTACAGCTCAATTATAGGCAAATGATATCCTCCTCTTGATTTATATGTTTGTGTGCCCTCTTCCCCTGCTCTTTCCATGGCCCTTGGGTATGTGACCCCTCTAAACCAACCCCTCTACCACACCAGTCCTCTCCTCCGCAATTCTCTTCTTTAAATAAAACGTGAATGCCTATTGGACTCGCTGCCTGGGCGAGCTTTTATAGCCATCAGGCCTATTTCTTCACACTCTAAACTAAAACCAAAGTCTTAATCTGTGCAGATGCTGACAACCACAAGTGCTTTGTGCGGCTCCCAAAACACACACACACACAACAACCAGCACTTTCCCCTCTCCCATCGTCCCTGGGCTGTTTGCAAGGGGCTTTCCTCTGCTCTCCTTTTTATCTGTGCTCACTCCATGACCCCTGTTCCCCCGGTTTCTTGCTGTCTGACCCATACCCCCCCCCCCCACACACACACACTCTCTCTCCCACACACACCCCTTGTGTGCCTCCAAACGGTAGGCGCCTGCTCATAGTCTTACTCCTGCTTTAAAGCAAAATCCCTACTTGCTTCATCCCATTCTGACAAAAAATATAGGACTAACTTGGAATTCTTTTTTTTATTTCTGACGGCAACAAGAGAGATATTTTTTAGACACGTTCTGGCACTCATAACAAAACAAAATAGTGTTTTTTTTTTTGGCTTTGTTAGGAACACTTCTCAAATAGCCTATTTAAGTAGCTTATTGGTCGTAACGCGTAAAAGCTGTAGTTGTGAACTAGTTGGAATCATTTGAAGTTAACGACAGTATTTTTTTGAAAGGGGCATAAACATTCTGTAAGCTCAGAGGAAAGCGTTCTGTTTGGCACCTAAAGTAGTCCGCAGTAAAGTATAGGCGAGCTCGTATAGTGGTGGAAAACTGACCCGCGGAGCAGCCTTGTATGTCTGCAGCTCGACAGGCACGCCACACTCCCCTAAAGTCCGGTCTGGGTGCACCTCTAGCCCGCTAGTGCCATGGACGGGGTCGGGGAGCTCCATTCGCACAACACACTCTGACTCGCGCAACCACAATCCCCCGCGCTCACGTCCCACACACATACTTTATACACATGTCGATCCATTTGCATATGACTTCGACGTGGAATGAGCGAGAATCGACTGAAAACAGTAGCAGAAAGTATGAGAAGGGAGAAGAATAAAAAAAAAACATGGCTAAACGCCGGACAGGACGCGATCATGGAGAAAGTGGAGGAACAGAGGCAGGGCGGAGGGACTGCACAAGCACAGGGACTCGGACAGCAAAAAAAAAATGTGTTTATCAAGGAGAGGATTAAGAAGCAAACATCCCTTCAGAAAGCCCCGCTGGATTTGCTAGAAACTATCCCAAAAACAGCGTCAGCGAGGTGTGCTCGTCTCCCCCGGACACGCATGGACCCACAGGCTGGACTTGGAGCTGCTTCCCTCCGCTGCTCTTACGCAGGGCTCCCGTTGCATTTCTCTCGCGTAACACTGTCTTTTTGTACCAAGAGTGTGCCACAAACATGCTTCTTGACACCCACAGCCCCACATTACACCCGTACGAGCCGAGGGAAAAGCGTGCATTTGTCAGAAATCGTGTTTTTGTGCGATCAACTGCGTGGAGCGGATGGCTGGCTTTTGCCCAGCTCTTATCTCGCGTTCACGAAGAGGACCACCGCAGATGTAAACACAGGTAACAATATAAAACACATCGTGGAGAAAAGATAGAACTACTTGCATGAAATCTACTTTAAACAGGGGGTCTATTCTCACAACGGGGGAATCGACAGCTCCCGTGTACGTAGCGAAAAGTCAGACCGACAGCAGAGATAAGTCCGCGGCGAAAAGAATAGGATCGAAGAAAGACAGTAAACCAGACAAACACAAAGTTTAAACTTACAATGTCTTGCTGCCGTTTTGTGATCCTTGCGTTTTAATCCAGTATAGAGATGGTTTGGCTAAAGATCCCATCAATGCAGTCCCCTTTTGGTCAGTTTGCGCTTACGGTGGCAAAAGAAAGATCATTGTTGTTGCGGAGTGTAAAAACGAAGTATTAGTTGTTAAAGGCGATATAAAAATAAATTGGATGCAAAGCAGGCGGTGAGTCTTGTGTTAGAGGGAGCTAGGAAGAGGTGAAAGTGAGATCTGATGATTGAAAAGAAAAAACTCTTTGGATCTTTATTCCTGCTAATTAGTTTCCTGCAAAAAATGGCTGTGATTAATTCAGTGCGCATGTGCTTCATTACACAGGCACGAAGGGAAGGGCTAATTAGCCGCCTTCTGGATCAATAAGATTCAGCAAAGGAGAGAGCTCAAGAGAGAGAGGGAGGGAGGGCAGTGAAGAGGAGGAGGGATGGAGATACACGCTGAAAAACACCAAAGTAATGATCACGAATTGAAAATATGGAATTAAGACGAGCGGAAAGTAAGAGTTTGATTAGACGGAAGGCGGCCGGAGTTAACAGTGGCGCAAGCGGCTGAGCTGGAAGAGTCCGATTCCACAAGCACCGCTTTCCTCCGCGTTTCCCACATTTTCAAGCTTTTTGCACCGAAAAAACTTTTAAAAATAAAACACTGACGCAATTATCAAGCGCTTCCGGCTCGTGGACCTGTGCTGGTTTTATTCTACCTCTAAAGCCGTGAATTAGCGTGCTTTAGTGCAGGACAGACAGCTGCGGGAGGTAGTTTGAACAAGTTGCAAAGTTGAGCGTAGTTAGGGCGCACAGTGCCCGTAAGAGGCGCACAGTGCCCGTAAGAGGCGCACAGTGCCCGTAAGAGGCGCACAGTGCCCGTAAGAGGCGCACAGTGCCCGTAAGAAGAGCAGTGTATTCGGGATTCCGTCTTTATTAATCACATTAACGTGCGCGTCGTGGGCGTAAAGAGCAGATTTATAACAGTGCATTTGTGCTCGCTGTTACGATAACTTGCATATATCCTACAACAGTTTCATTTTCGGAACTTGATGCACAAACATTGAGATTAAATTATTAGAATAATAGCGGAACGTAAACAATGTGACATTAGTGTAATTGGGGCAATGTACATGGATCCATCTCAAATCTCTGCAAATATCAAAATATGTGGATACATTAGGCATGCTATGTGAACCAAGTATCATGTAATCTTTTTTATATTGTCCAATAAAAATAAAGACAAATCAATATGATGCTCTACTGTTATTTTGATCATTGGTCTGTATTTGTGCATGTAGTTCTCTAATCATTGTTTAAAAAAATATATTACATTCTTCTTTTATTCTTTTTTTGATTCAATTGGCAGGCTCAAAGCTGAAGCCTTTTGGACAGATATTGCGAGATTTCAGAGCTCAATATGAATCTGAATAACCTATTTTGGCGTAACAGTGTGTACACGTGTTTTTTTTTCGGTGTGATGTTAAAACAATTGCCAACGCAATATCTGTTCGTGCACAAATCCAGAGCAGGTGACTTCAGATTTCTGCTAATATCACAGCCAGACAACAGGTTTCCTTAGTATTTTATTTAGCCCATTCACTGTTGGTCTGTTTATTTTATCCGCCTTAAACCCATCGTTTTCACTGTGTGGATAATGAATAAATGCCAGAAGGCCAGATGGTCAGTAGCCTGATAGATTTTACGTGAGATTCGGTGAGGAGGAATTTCCGAACACTCACTGATCAATACCTTAGTACATTTAAGGCTACTGACATTCGCGTTATACGCACTGAGCATTTCGCCTTCCCCTGTGTAACTTTCATCCCTGAATCTTGGGAAACAAAATCTATTTTGCAACAATCCAAATCAACCTTCTGTATTATAATCTTCTTTATGGTTATTTATTATTTTATTATTTACAAATTTAAATAAAAAAAAAAACAACAACAACCTCTATTCCATGTAGCTCCATGTGACGTTGTGGTATGTGCTGTGCTTGGATTGATTTAGTCTTTATAATAAATCATTAGTGGGAAAAGTGATGCTTGGAAGGATAGCCATAAAACGAGAATATGGGTTTTTTTTGTCTGTTGAATCTTTACGCCTTTTGTTCTAGGTTATACGAGAGGTTACAGAAAGCTCAAGGGACGCAGCGTTTTCCCAAATACAATTGCACAAATCCTCTCAACACCTCATGGAATATGACAATTTACATGTTCTAACGCCCATATCGGGACACCTCTGCACTGAGCTCCGTTGGCACAGACACGAGTGACCTGCTGGAGCAGATACCTGCAGCAGAATGTAACACAAATACCACTACAAGACGCAGAGATGGCACCAGCTCACTTTTAGCCACTGGAGAGACAGACCGGGAGAATGTCGAGGATTTGCGTCGTGTCTGCTCTTACGGGAAGAGCAGACTGTGAAAATGAAAAGCTATGTTTAAATTCACGTATGAGGGGTGTTAAGGGGACTGGCAGATAATAGATGAGTTTGGTGTAATTTGAGGCTTGGTGCGAGGCTGCGTTATGTGTGAGTCAGTCTCCCAGAGCTGAACAATGCAAACTTAAGTGTACAAATGTATGCAAAGGCCTGATAGACACTGCTCCATCAGTGACCATAGTGCGCAACGCGAGGCTGCATTAAACCAGGAGCAGAGCAGAGGCCCGGCTGCTTTTAGGGCTCGTGCATGTGAAAAGGAGACGGGGTCTGACAGGGTCCAGGCTTTTGTGTTTGCACCATTGAATTGCGCCTCTCTGTGGGAAGGATAACTGTCCACGTGCCACTCTCAATAGGCATACATCGGCGAGTGGCATTGCAAATTCAACACAACCTGTGGCCATGACAGCCCGTGGATATGCCAAAGAAAGGCAGAGTGGCTTAAATGCAAAACTGCTCAGTGCATGTGAGGCACATGAAAGAGCTTGACCGTCACTAGACCTGCACGTCACAAAGTGGTGATCTGGGGCGCGGAGCAAAGCGCAACAACCGTTTTAACTGCTGCTCCCGTAGATTTAACGCATAAACTTTGAGTAAAATAATCTGATTTTATTTTATAGAAACGTTGTACCACCTCGTGAACGCGTATAGGCACATTGTCCAAGAAAAGTACAGAGATGGAATATATAGAGCAAGGTTTAAAGATAGGCACAACGAAGAGAAGTCACATTCGTTATGAAGAGCTATGGTCAGTGAGAAGTTATTATTTTAGAACAATATAGACAAACAAGGCGGGTGTGTTATCTGTTAGATGGAAGAGCATTGACTCTCAGTAGATACTGTCATGTAATTTCTTTTTCTTTCTTTTTCTCTTTTTTTTCTTTATTATTTTACAGTCTTGAGATCGAACAAATTTGATATAGCCTTAAAATTCACCTTTTACCTCAATACAACATATGATCACGCTTAAACGGACAGAAGAGCATGCATTCTATCAATATAACTTTTTCAGATTCTGTTGGGTTTTTTTGCTCCTCCTTTGTTTTTCTTCCCTGGTCTATACGTTGTGTGCAGCCGTGATACAGAATGTCTATGCGCGCTCTTGAGAGGGTGATGTCCAGCTCCGTGCGCGTCTCGGGTGGATGGGGCAGCGCAGCCAGGTGCAATGGGAGCGCCCTCTTATGTTCAGGCTGTGACCACAGGGATCAAGCAGCGTCTCTCTGAGCACAGAGCAGCGCCTGCGGACGAGCGCCGCACACGCGCTCCGGAGACGTTGGACCGCATAGAGATGGATTCATGATCTGATAGACACGAGCAACGTATTCTACATTGTTTTAGATATGAAATACGCGCAGAATATAATAACAAAAATATCAACATAAACAAGAAAAAAAGCAGCACAAACATAAATAACCAATATTTACAACCGAAATAAACCTGATCAACAAATCAGTGAAAGGATTATTTTAGTTGCTCGTCATCCATAGGGGAAGTTAATTTACACATTTTACTCAATTAATTTATTATTTGTCGCCATTTCTAAATAATATCTATCCACACATATTTAAACGTATTTTATCAGACGGAACTGATGCAAAGTGGAGCTTGCAACTATTGAACATATTGAAATGCAAAATATCTTTCCCCTGTTAATGTGTTTTTGATGTTTTGTTTTACTTTTGTAAGCTAAAACTCTTTTATTTTGTGTTTGTGTGGCTGATCACAATACCCCATGTATGTAATACATAAATCTAACATTCTGTATTTTAATTATTAATAAAGGTGAACCCTTATATATAAACTATTGGCTCATGCTCTTGTGTATGTGTGTTTGTGTCAGTTCCTCGGCCGCAGCTCGACCTGATGTTCGCGCTGTTGAGGTTTGTGTGGACGGGGAATAGCGTCTGTCTGGTCAGTTTCATAGACACAACTAACAGCTAACGCATATCAATCATCTGCATTCATTTCTGCGTTATAAACGATCTAATGCATTATTCAGAAATCACTTTTCACGTAGAAGGAAATAGACGTGTTAACACAACACCATCAAGCCAAATGTGCATCTTGCAAAAATCATAATCCTGTGGTATAAATGACTACCTGAAATATATATTTGGAGCTTGCACTTTTAAGAGGGATGGAGGAAGCTATGTATCGATACAATATGAAATAAGGCTTATAAAATAAAAAGCACGAGGAAGAAGGTATTGGTTATTATACGGACTGATTGTTACTGTCATTCTGTGGATTATTACGCTGTTTGTATTTGTATAATAATAACACTATTAATAATTAAAATGAATAATGAGGATGAATATTATTATTATTAGGCCATACACCTTTCTATAAAACACCTGCTAAATCATAGACATGAATCGCAAAATGAAATGTTACAACCATACATAATTAGACTTTTAATTGTATGGGGCTAATTAATAACGTAATTTTCTGATACATTTTATGGAGGTAAGAATTTATGAAATTGTGTTTGATAAAAATATATATTGTTTGTAGGCTTATATAAATAACTTATCAATTGTGGTAGGCTATTTTAATTATAAAATATCTCACGTAGAAAAAAATATAAATTAGGCTACAGCGTAATTTCAAGCAGGCCTATAGTTGCTTAGAAAGGCCAGCCAATTTTAACGGAGGTAAAAAATAAATGATTTTCGGGGAAGTTTCGCCACAGACTGAGGCTTGAAACTGGTTTATTTATTTATTTATTTATCTATTTATTCAATTCCTCTTTCATTCTTGCACGAGCGCGCGCGCAGTTTCCAAAATCAGAGACACTGACCAGACAGCTCCAACACGAGTGGTCACCAACCCATGTTTGTAGTTTAAATTACAGACAGGCCTATCCCGCAATGATAATACTACTACTGATGATAAAAAAAATATGTATGTGAAACAAAGCTTAGTGCGAAAGATGCGACGAGATGGAAGTTGACAGGTGGAAATGACACAGAAGTCACGTCTCGGAGCAAAGCCAGCGGTCAAACCCAAATCCTACGTCACTGCCTCTGGATGTCTCAACAACTCGACGAGCTTTGACAACAATTATTCCGACAAAACACAGGAAGGGGTCATGGTGTAGTTCTTGTATAACCTCGTTTTATATAACTACAGAACTCTTATAATGTAATAATTAGTTTCTGATTTAAAGTTAGGGAAACACAGATGTCTAAAACGACCAACCTAAAACTAAACAGACAGGCAGTGCTCTAGAACTTTTTGTAAGCCAAAGCAAAGAGGCAAGAGACCAAACCAAAGCTGCACGCACCAAAAAGAAGCCAAAATCAGGAGCCACAACCAGTATGAAGTCATTTCACTTGGGTCAAACTAACCAATGCAGATATGGTCTTTCCCCTGTGGGCTCAGGTGTTTAAAAAAAAAAATCAACAGCTGTACATGGTTTATTGATACAGCAGCATTATTATGTAATCCTAAAATACAAATACACCATTATATTGTGTTTCCCTTCCCTGTGACTTTAGCCATTTCACACCGGTCACCATAAAGTCCACAGACCTCGATCTACTCCTCAAACACAAATAGTTTTGTTTAATCCAGACACATTCAACTCAGAAAACACATCGGGGTTAGCCACTACTCAAAGTCAATAACGGAGGTAAATGGAAGCTTTCCATTTCTCTCAACTCTATATTTAGTTAAGCATAGTGACCCCACAGGGCAAAGGTTTATGGTAAGGAATTGAGCATTTTACATTAATGCAATAAAATGTCACTTTTCACACAGAAGGGTTTGCATCTTTCAGAAAAAGATATCAACATTAAAAAAAGGCGATGAATGGAAAGGTCACACGTTCCCAGTGGTCAAATGACAGTGATGTGATCTCCTATTTGTGGCAGATGAATAAAGTCATTATTTTTATTGTGATATTATTCTGAATATGTTATGCATATGTAGTTGTATTTAGTTTCATCATGGACCATGAACACTAGACACTTTGCACATTTATCTGGTCAATATTTCACACAACAACACACACAACAATACATTAGCAATTTATGTTACGTGTAATTAAAGCATTCAGACTGATAAGAGATCTAATTGTAAAATGTAAAGAATGGATCAACTGAGAATACTTTTTGCACACACTAAATTTATGGATGTAGAATACTCAAAGGAGGTTTATAGCATCTACAAGAATGATAACCTGCGTTTTGTATTCCTTTCTTTCTGATCTTATGTTTTATATGTACAAATGCATTTCCTCAGGAGGGTGCTGGGTTTGAGCTGTTTAGAATTGTAAATGTATCACATAGGCCGTGCTGTCCAATTACATATATCTTTCATGTATGAAATCATGCATGTCTCGCTCAGAGCAGGGGGGTATGGGCACAAAGGGACCAGTCCAGAATGCCGCCCACATGAAAAATAAGGTCTAATGTCAAAGCCCTGAAGGCCAGGGAGGGGAGCTCCTCTTCACACTCCACTGCATTGTGCTGTGTTATTGCCAAACAGCTGACCCAGGGCATCTCCAACTCACAGATCACACTCTTAATTACACACACAACTAAATCAATTCATCTACCGTGTTGTTTCATCATTTCATACAGACTGCACCACTATTCTTTTTATTTCTGGTAAACTATCTTTTATTATCATTATTTTAACTAACCTATAGTGATGCAAGATTGATTCTTCCAATATGTGTGAGTTCTATGTGTGGTAAAGAACTCATTCTGAGGCCTACACAGATCTGGCATGAGCCAGGTTATTGTGATAGGACTGCCACTGAGAATAACAGGCCTATGTGACTTGATAGATAGTAAGAGACATCACAAACATGGAGTGGATGTATTGATTTTCATGTGACTAGACTTGACCTGTGCTAAAACACTAGTTAGGTAGAAGGCACAGAGATGTAATCATGCATTAAAAAACATTGTTAATCAAAACATGGTAAGCTTCAGAGCACAGCTCGCAAATCTAGATTCAAGTCCTAAAGCCTTATGGCAGAGTAACCTGTGTTCAAAGTGCGGATGGATGAGTGTTAAAGAGCTTATGGCACAGACAGCAGGAGGAGAGAAGACTTCACACACTCACCTGATGATAGGTTTTGGACCACAGATACCTCTTCCTCACGTTTCCGTTTCAAGTGTGTTTTTGAAGTCCTCGGGGTCACAGCGGGTTGGTCAAAGCCATGGCTGATAGTGGTGGCTATTGCTAATGTCCAGGCTTTGGTCGTCTTTGCATTTACATATGATTAATAAGTGTTTTAAAGCTATTGTAGGGCCTGGGCACCAGAAACAATTTGGTGATATTTTCCTAGACCTCCAGGTATTTCCAGGATTTTCAAAGCTATGGTTGAAGATTTGGAGACTTCAAGGTCACGAGAAGAGCCAGTCAGCACAGAACCATCACCTGAAAAAAAGGAAAAGAATGGTCAGACACTGGAAGACGTTTCATTTAAGAGTGACAGTTTTATTCATCATGAAAGATAAACCACTATTTCAGTATCTTAACTAAAATACAATATAATGAATACCTCCCAAAAGAAACAAACCAAAGTGGAATGACTTCCATCAGCATCTCAAAAATAATTAGCAGTTGGAGACAGAAAAATTAAACAACATTTTAGTGTGTAACTTTTGTCTGTAATAACTTAAAATACATTGAATAGAAAAAATGTCATTGTTATTGCAAATTAAAAAGGAAAACATGGATTTGTGAGCTATATAATAAACATTCTTATTGACTAGTTTAATAGAGTTCTACGGCGAGGATTACTCGGTTGTGACAACAAAGTCTCTTCAACAATACATATTTATTTGCTGTCAATTCCAGTTAAAACATGTAAGAAAGAACTTTGAATTCCTCATGGGTTTTTGTGAGTAGAAAGACAAATGTGCTTGTCATATGTTCCAATAATTCCACAGACGCTGAAATTTGGTTCAAAAAACAGCCGCACAGGAGCAGCAGGCATTTGTGATAGCTGAAACATTCATTTGAAGCCTCTTCTAGTTGGAAACGGAGCGTGATTATTTTTACCTCTGTGGTTAAAATCATGTTTAATTGTACCCAAGAGTCCCTACTGTGGTAGTGATTCAGAGCTCAGGGAGCAACATTTAAAGCACAAAACTATATGAACTTGTGCTCTTTGGCCACAGGTATAATGAGTGACATGTTTGACCTAAAAAACAGCAATTAAAATGACAACTAGTGTTTCTGGTTTTTCGGGAGTTTGGATTCCTCAGTCTTCAAACATTCAAAATAATCGTGCCTATTGATTGATTACGTCTGTGGTTGAGTACATAGATGAGTCTATAC